CCGCGGGCTCAGGCAATCCACTCACCTCAGCCTCCCAAAGGCGCGGGATTACAGGCTGAGCCACCGAGCCTGGCGCCACTCATTATTGATGTGATCTTGGTCAAGTTGCATAACTGAACCTCAATTTCCTTGTCAGTTCCATGGATATAGTTGTCTTGCATCACGGTGATGTGAACTAAATAAGATGCAACACAAGTGAGTACCTGGTACAGAGCAGGTGCTCAGTAAATGTTTGTTTTCTTTCCCAGCTTTTTCATAGACAGTTGTTAATCTTTTTTTCCCCCTGAGTGTTTTACCCTCACCTTTAAGGACTCAGGAAGGCTCTTCCTCAAAGATTTCTCTAGCATCTGCAGCATCTGTGTACTCTGCAAATGCAACATCTTGTCAGGTACCTTAGCCTAAAGAGAGAAGCAAGAGACATCAGGTATGAGAAAAGCTAGAAGACTCGAGGCACAACAGGCAGTTCTAGTTAATGGCCTGGTCACTATTCTTGCTGTTTCACTAATACCCCATTCACTAAATCTCTTACTAACTCTAAGAATAAGTAAGACTGGTGCCTCAAATAATTTTAGAAAGAGGCACCTATATGTACCACCAATCTCTATTGAAGTATAGCATGATATGTTAATAAATCCAAATGTACAAAAGGTCTGAGAATCACTCTGGCAGTAACTTTTGGTCACATTCATTAGCATTGTCAGTGATCCTGAATCACTTGTAAATACAAGTTGGGAAAATTAATCTTTCAATAAATCCAAATATATGGCTCATTTTTAAAAATTGTGACATTTTTGTTTCCATTTTATGACACCTAGAATTTATTTATTTATTTTAATTTATTATTTATTTTAAACTTTTTATTGTAAATATGTGGGGTACAATTCAGGGTTAGGTATACAAACATTGATCATGTAGTTATCCCTGTTAATGAGGTATGCCCCTCCCTACCCTAGCAGTTTCCCTCAACTGCCAATCCCACCCCACCACCAACAGTTCCCCATTACTACCAATTGCTTTCTTATAGCATTACAATTGTTCAAGGTCATCTTATGAGTGAGAACATATGGAACTCAGTTCTTTGTTTCTGTGATAAATCACTGAGTATGATCAACTCCAAATCCATTCAGGTTGCTGCAAAGTCCATGAATTTGTCCTTCTTTATGGCTGCATAATATTCCATTGTGTATATGTACCACATTTTTTTTTATCCAGTCCAGCTTCGATGGGCAACACAGTTGGTTCCATGGTTTTGCTATTGTGAATAGAGCTGCAACAAACATACGTGTGTAGATATCTTCTTTGTAGAATAATTTGAGTTCCTCCAGGTATATTCCCAATAGGCAAATTGCTAGTTCTTTCAGAAATCTCCAGACAGTTTTCCAGAGAAGTTGTACAAGTTTGCATTCCCACCAGCAGTGTAGAAACATTCATTTTTCTGCACATCCTTGCCAGCATCTGTTGTTGTTTGTTTTATTAATAATGGCCATTCTTACAGGAGTTAGGTGGTATCTCAGTGTGGTTTTTTGTTTGTTTTGTTTTTTTAATATATATATTTTTATTTTAAAATTATGGGATATAGTTTAAGGGTTAGGTATACAAATATGTATTGTGCAGGTACCCTTGCTGATGAGGTGTGGCCCCCTTTCCCCAGACAGATATTGACTAACTTTAATTCCACCTCCCTTCCCCTCCCTGCCCACCCCCATTGTTTCCCACCACTGTCAATCCTTTTCTTATAGTATTACAATAGTTGTTCAAGGTTCACTTATGAGTGAGAAACATGTGATACTCAGATCTTTGTTTCTATGAGAGATCACTCAGTATTATAAACTACTCCATCCAGGTTGCTACAAAATGTATGATTTTGTTCTTTTTTATGGCTGCGTAATATTCCATTATATACATGTACCACATTCTTTTTTTTTTTTTTTTATGAATTGAAGTCTCACTCTGTTGCCCAGACTGGAGTGCAGTGGCCGCTCCCGGCCACCGCAGCCTCGACCTGCTGGGCTCCGGTGATCCTTCCACCTCAGCCTTCCGAGTAACCAGAATTAAAGGCATGCGCTACCACGCCCGGCTGATTTTTTGATTTACTGTAGAGATGAGGTCTCACTGCCCAGGCAGGTCTCGAATCCACGGGCTCAGGCAGTCCACTCACCTCAGCCTCCCAAAGGCGCGGGATTACAGGCTGAGCCACCGAACCCGGCTGTACCACATTCTTTAAATCCAGTCCTCTTTTGATGGGCAGCATGGTTTGTTCCATGATCTTGCTATTGTGAACAATGCTGCAATAAACATACGTGTGCAGATATCTTTTTTATAGAGTGATTTGAGTTCTTCAGGGTATAGTTCCAGTAGGGGGATGCAGGGTCAAATGGAAGGTCAATTTTTAGAGCTTTTAGGAATCGTTACACTGATTTCCACAGAGCCTGTACTAGTTTACACTCCCACCAACAGTACAGAAGTGTTCCCTTTTCACCACACCCTCTCCAGCATGTTATTTTTTTGTGCTATTGATCATGACCATTCTGACAGAAGTTTGGTGGTATCTCAGTGTGGTTTTAATTTGCATCTCCTTGATGACTAGTAAGGTTGAACATTTTTTCATGTATCTGTTGGCCGCTCATATATCTTCTTTTGAGAAGTGTCTGTTCTTTTGCCCACTTTGTAATGGGCTTTTTTTTTTCTTTTCAGCATTTTGACTTCCTTGTAGATCCTTGATGTTCTACATGCCTTTTTTGTAGATGCCTTTGTCAGACATGGAGTTGGCAAACACTTTTACCAAGTCGTGGGCTGTCTCCCTGCTCTCTTGGTTTCTTTGGTTTTGCAGAACCTTTTCAGTTTAAAAGGTTCCACTTGTCTCTCTTACCTCTTTTGGCCTGTGCATTTCAGGTTTTGCCCAGGAATTGGATGCCAGTTCCAACTTCCTTAAGGTTGTGTCCTGCATTTTCTAAAGTTCTTATGGTTTGAGGTTTTACATTTAGGTCTCTGATCCTTTCAGAGTTAATTTTTGTGTATGGGGATAGATAGGGGTCTTGTTTGAGTCTTCTGCACGTGGTCAGCCAGTTTTCCCAGCACCATTTACATAATGGGTTTTCCTCTTCCCAGTGGTGAGTTGGTGGAGGCTTTGTCGAAGATGAGTTAGTTGAGAAATTGAGGTTTTTCTTCTGGAATCCCAATTTTATTCCATTGGTCTATATGCCTGTTCTTGTACCAATACCAGGCTGTTTTGATTATTATAGCTTTATAGTAAAGTTTAAAGTCTGGTAGTGTGATACCTCCTACTTTGTTTTTGTTTTGGGGGGTTTTTTTTGCTGAGGATTGTTCTGGCTATTCTTGGTCATTTGTGTTTCCATATGAATTCCTGTATTGTTTTTTCTAGATCTCAGAGGAATATTGCTGGTAATTTGATGGGTATTGCATTAAATCTGTAGATTGCCTTAGGTAAGATGGACATCTTCACAATTTTGATTCTTCCATACCATGAGCATGGGATATTTGTCCACTTGTTTGTATCATCTTTGATTTCTTTGAGCAGTGTTATGTAGTTTTCATTGTAAAGGTCTTTCACATGTCTGGTTAGGAAGATGTCAAGGTATTTCATTTTATGTGTGTGGCTATTGTGAATGGGATTGTGTTTTTTATTTGGGTTTCTGTTTGTTTATTATTGGTGTAAAGAAATGTGATTGTCTTTTGCACATTTATTTTATACCCTGAGACTTTGTCAAAGTCCTTATCAGTGCCAGCAGATTTTTGACAGATTCTCTTGGAATTTCAAGGTATAGGATTCTATCATCAGCAAAGAGGAATATCTTGAATTCCTCTTCCTATTTGGATACCCCTGATCACTTTCTCTTTTCTGATTGCTCTAGCCAGGATTTCTAATACTATATTGAACAGGAGGAGTAAGAGTGGGCATTCTTGTCTTGTTGCAGTTTTCAGGGGAAATGGTTTCAATTTTTGTCTGTTTAGAAGTGTGCTGGCTGTGGGTTTTTCTAGATGACTTTTACTATTTTGAGGTATGTTCCACGTATGCCTAGATGTTCGAGGGTTTTTATCAGGAAGGGGTGCTGGATTTTATCAAAAGCTTTTTCTGCATCTAATGATATAATCATGTGGTTTTTGTTTTGACATCTGTTGATGTATTTAATTACATTTATGGTCTTACAAATGTTGAACCAGCCTTGCATCCCAGGGATGAAGCCTACTTGGTCATGATAGATGATTTTTGAGATGTGTTGTTGAATCCGGTTTGCTAGGATCTTGTTGAGAATTTTAGCATCTATGTTCATCAAAGACATTGGCCTGTAGTTCTCTTTCTTTGTTAGGTCTTAACCTGGCTTGGGTATCAATGTGATGTTAGCTTTGCAAAATGATTTGAGGAGAGTTCCATCTTTCTCTATTGCCTGGAATACTTCCAGTAGGATTGGTATCAGTTCCTCCTTCAATGTCTTATAGAATTCTGCTGGAAAGTCATCTGGTACAGGGGGTTTTTTGTAGGTAGTTTTCTTATTACATAGTCAATTTTCTTGATTGTTATTGGTCTATTTTGGATCTTGATTTCTTCTTGTTTCAACCTAAGCAGGTTGTGTGATGTCAGAAAGTCCTCCATTTCCTTAAGGTTTTCAAGTTTGTTTCCATACAAGTGTACATAGTCGTCTCTAATGATCTTTTTTATTTCTTCAGGGTCAGATGTGACTTCATCTTTTGTGTTTCTGATTGTGTTTATTTGGGCTTTTTCTCTCTTTTCCTTGGTCATTCTAGCTACGGGACCATCAATCTTGTTTATCCTTTCAAAGAACCAGCTTTTTGTTTCATTAATTTTTTGTATTATCTTTTTGTCTTCTATGTCCCGGATTTGGGTTTTTACTTTGGTGATCTGGATTCTTCTGCTGAAGTTAGGGTTTTGGTGGTCTTGCTTTTCCAGCTTCTTTAGGTGACTTGTTAGGCTGTTAATTTGTGATCCTTCCATTTTCTCCATGTGCATGTACAGAGATATAAATTCCCCTCTTACTACAGCTTTCATGGCATCCCAGAGATTTTTAGTAAGATGTTTCTTCATTTTCATTTGTTCCCAGGTATCTTTTAATCTCTGTTTTGATTTTATCATTGACCCTGGAGTTGTTTAGCATCATGCTGTTTAGTGTTCATGTCTTTGGGGGTTTGGGGGTACCTTGTTGATGTGGATGTTTATTTTTTTTCCACTGTGTTCCAAGAAGGTACTTGGCTAAATTTCAATCTTTTGAAATTTGCTTATGCTTGATTTATGGCCTAGGATGTGGTTGATCTTAGAGTACATTCCATGTGGAGATGAGTAGAATGTATATTCTGTGATCATTGGGTGGAATATTCTGTAGGTATCAATTAAGTCCATTTGGTC